GTCATCTCTTTGCATGAGTGCTGTTGCTCGCGCTACTGCCCAGCAGTCCGTGAAGATGTGAAAATCCTTATCATAATTGGGGTGTCTAAGTACTGGTTCTTGTAGCAACAAGGTTTTAAGCTTATCAGAAACTACCCAGTGCTACTTCGAAATGTTCATAATGTAATCTACTTTGATTGCTTGTGTAACGTTGTCCTACTCGGTTCTCTGTGACTCCCCTTCATCTTAATAAGGCACTTTAACGCACACTACTCGATATTTAACTAAAGATCACTTTGCTTCTGGTAAGGTCAGTTACCTCGTTTTTTTGCGGGCATTTCGGATAGCGATTTTCCCCCTATGGGTTCTGAAATTTTGACTCCTCCAGAATTTTCCACTGATCCCGTTTTTTAGGAGGTATTTCTGCTGTTGTCAGTACTTTCATTTTCTTCGGCACCTCAGGCGGCAGATTCGATTTTGCTTTGATGAACTTCAGGACGTGCTTGGTTTGATCTAGCCTCGTTTCTGGGTGTCGCTTGTCGTTTCACTATTCTCGTAGTGTAATGTTTTTGAAAAAGATTTTTTTGATGTCCCTTTTTTAAACTTTCTATAAATTCTTCCTTTTTGCTGTGTTATACACCTTTTATTACACCAGTTCCTACTTTACCCATTCTTACGCCTTCACTATATCTTAGCACTATCTTAGGGGTATTCTCATCTTTCCCCTACCTCTCCCTTCCCACTCCCTCCTCATTACGTGTTCTTAGTCGCTTTTCCATACCCGCCTATTAACATGAAATTTCCGTCTGCACCTATAATACATTCCAGTTTCTGACGACTCCTAATTACGACTGCCTTCTACGCGTTTTCCGTTCGTCGCAACCCGTCTTTAGCAACTTACATTTGGCAAATCTACATCAGATGAGACAGGAAGAAGTGGGGAGAACATGAGAAGTTTACAGTCGGCAGGCGGAGCTAAATACTACAATGCTAGGAGAAATGAAGGTAATGGGAGATACGCGGCACCGTGAGCACAACAGCAGCGGATGCCAGAGGCAGATATCATGCTTTGAGGAGACCAGAGAGCGGAAAAGAAAGAGGTAGGCAACCCCTAATTTGTTATGCTTGTGGTGGAAGGGGCCAATACTGCTCGAATTTGCCCAACAGCAGTCGGCCATGGAATAACCACAGACCTTGGAGGTGAAAATGAACTAAATCCGGGCGCTACTGAACTAAAAGTAGAACGAATAGAAGGTCACGGACCGAAAGGAGAAGTGGTCGGAAAAAAGCTAGTGGCTGAGCTACTTTGCAAAAAGGAGCCCATGACAGCACTAAT